TTCATTTTCACTATTTGTTTATAAGTACTATTATAATCGACTTTCACTCACATTATGGCCCACTTTCATTTTAAAATTTATAAAAGTCGTTATATTTCAAAAATTACTTTCAATATTATAATAATTAAATCTGTGCAATATGTTTTGATAAAAAATTGGATTTAAAATTTAAGTTTTGTAATAGAGGTTTCTATTTTATATATATATATATATATATTATATATATATATATTATATTTTTCACAAATAATATGTATTAAATATCCTATACTAAAATAAATATGTCAAATTATGTTTTTTTCATTATTTTATAAAATAATAAGTACAGAATCTTGAACATAAAATATGTATGGGTCATTTATTCCTTATGGTTATCTTGTCTTAAACATTTAGGTAAGATCGCCAATGCTCATGTTTTGATATTGTTGTAATAAATTTCACTGAAGTATTTTCTTTTTAATTCTGATGGTATTATGTACTATAGGCTTCAGTGAAGTAATGTGCCAAACGCTATTAAGAAATAACAATAAGAAATGTATTTTTTTTGCATTTTAAAAAGTATGGCCATCTTATTCGAGTTTACCATAATTGATTACCAAATTCTATAATAGTTTTGCTATAAAATTATCTTTGTGTTCAAGACGATTGGATTACAGATAGCCTAAACGCTCGTCCTCGTGCTTCTCTTATCCCCGCAATTCGTTCGCGGTTCGTCCCGCAGCGTGTGTTCTAAGATACTCGAAACAGATACGCTTGAGAACATTATTCGAGAGTAGGACCGAGTAACGCGCGGACGCAGCGTGAGGAAGAGATTGAAAGAAAGAAAAGAAGAGAAGAGAAGCAAAGAGCCCGTATCGCGATGTTCTGTTCCGAGCACCTGCTCGCCCGGTCGGCATTCTTTCGTTTCATCTGCAGGCAACGAAACTGCCATCCCGATCGCGCATAGAGGCGCTCTAATTGCAAATGCGCGCAAAGTGGCCGTCGTAAATAGCAGCCCACGGCCGCGCTCCCGTGACTCTGAAATCGATTAACGCTCAAATCGGTTCTGCTCGCACACTCGTCGCGTTATAAATAGCACCCGCTATCGCCCGACTGTAATCTATAACGGGACAATTTTATTTCACGCATCTCTCATTTTGCATGTATGATTTGCACTTTGATCTGTAACTATGTAAGACCGCGTTTCTCTCAGAGCCGGGGGATCGATTAGCCGAGTTAGCGACTCGCCGCTTTTCCCTCGCGCGAGACCGGGAATCGCCTTTTCGAGAGAGCCTCCGTTCTCGCCGTCGCTCCTTTTTCACGGAAATGCCGTTCCGGCCACCCATAATCGATTTCGTGCGGCGCTACACCGCACGTTTACGTCCACTTCGGTCGGATTATGAGGTTCGCGGTCGGTCAGAGTCGTTCGTCACATTCACGGAGGCGCACCTGCTCGCGGAAAAGCACGCGGTGCCGTTTCTCAGCTCTCTATATCCTCTCCTCTCTCTCCCTGCCTCCCTTTATTCTCCTAAATTGCTTCTCCTAAATTCGGTGGATCGCGCTACCGCTAGCCGGTCTCACGATTCTACGAGCTTACGGTATAACGGCTACAGAATGAAACGATCCAATCCTTGCAAAATTTCATGGCGTTCGATACACTATCGAGCTTCATTGAACTTGACTCTAGTTTTACGAAATTTTTTAGGTAATTCTGGCCATTTAAAAAGATTGGCTACTATTCTTTCCTAGAAATTCTATCAAGAATAAAAAGGAAATGTAATTATTTTTGTTTCGAATGAAGTGAATTAATTCTTTGATTTAGTTAATATTATGATGGAGAGAAGAGGGTTGATCTTTCGAGTTACGTAATGGGAAATACATGCTGTCTTAAAGCGAATCAGTAAAAATGTTTTTAATTGAATCAGTGAAAGGAGTGTTTCACTGATGATCAGTAAATATTCGCTGATTTTTTATGAAAACATTCCTACTACTCCCTCTTATTTCTCGCCAATTTTGAGAGATGGAAGTGGCAGTGAGATTTCACTGAGAAATCACAAATCCGTTATATATATGTTATGCCAAATCCAATTTCTTGTGTTTGTGATTATAGAATTAAAGATTTATGTGCATCTTGTATATAATGACACTATCTGTTCACAAAATGTATCAATAACGGGTCGATCAGGTCAATGTCATTGATTGATCTTTCCAGCGGAATCTTGATTACAATACCAACTAAACCGCCAGTGATAAGTACATGGAAAAAACAGTATAATTGGTTCATGAGTTTGATTGTGCCAACCAGATTCAACTCAGATAGATTTTCATGATTATCATCGGTTGAGACAATCAACGATGAAAATTTTATAATTCTTTGAATTATATTTACGAGATAAATGTATAGTATTGAATTAATCATTAAATTCACATTACACAATGACGTAAATTTTGTGTTACATTGTTACAAGAAATTTACTCAAAGTTTGATCTGACCTAGATCTAATTTTGAATAAATTTTTTGCTGTATCGATATAACACAGAATCTAGACTAGCCAAGTAGATTTTCATATTACATTTTGTGTGGCATATTATTTTGAACAAAATTCAATCATTTTTTTTTCATGTCTTTTTCGTATCTCTATTTCGTCTTTCTATGTAATAAATGAGTGCCATATGAAGCACTCATAAGGGCACGTAACCTTTACAAATCAACTAGTTAAGTTATTACCAAATCTACGTGCAAATCTGTCTATTTTTTCCGTGTATAGTATATCTTAGTGAAGAATATACTGATTGTGCACCTCAGAGAGGACATGATTATAAATGATTACGTTATAAAAGATGGCGTTTTAGATTTGAATATTCGTGGAATGTTCGATCTGCAGTTTTCGTTCTCTCTATGATCATCAGCGTGCACCACGCTGTACGTGCATCATTCTTACGCAGATTTCCTCCCCCTTTCTCATTCTCGTTGAGTCCTTGCGTCGCAACCACGTCGACCTGCCGAGTAGTAACTGCTTTAATGTCCGTGTTACACGCACTCGCACTTATTTCCAGAGGATGCGCGAGTGTGTGTGCATGTCGGGCGGAATGAACGTGATGCTGGCGTGGCGAAGTAAAACCGCGCCCGGGTGCTCGTTTTCGAAGCGGGCAGGTAGCCGGGCCGCGAGAACGTCATCGCCACCTGCCGCATCGAGGCATCTCGGGATAATGGAGGAAGAAGGCGCGGATCGCGAGACGCGACGGCGCAGGAGAATCATTATTTCCCTGAGTAATTTGCTGTTATGTTAAACAGCTGTCTGACCGGACGCAGCCTTGAACGTGACAACACCGATTCGTCGTCGCCAATAATCCACCGATCGGATGTCATCGATGCCGTGCGCTCGCTTCATGAAACTATCGAATAAATGAAAACGCGTAAATCGCAGCGATCAAATGTTTACATAAAACGTAGAAAAGAGGAATATATATATAGTATATATATGTGTATATATATACATATATATATATATATATATATAT